ATGTTAAGCTGTCACGGGGACCAATGAAGTAGCTGTTACTGTGCTAAGCTGGAATCTTGTCCCTTGCAACCTATAAAAATCCTGTAACCCCGAGCCCATGCATGCAAGCTGCCTAAGCTACGGCCGAGGTTCTGCTTTGCATCCATAGGCGCCTATGTGAAAATAAATTCCTCCTGCTGATTGCATCCAGTGCCTCGCGTGTTCCACTCTGGGTTGGGGTCTCGGGGGTCTTTCACACCTACATTACCTCTTTTCATGGATTATATGTGGTTTTTCCCCTCATTTTGTAGAGGAGGAAAGAATGGCCTAAGGAAGTTCAGTGACTTGACCATAGGTGTGGCAGAAGATCTTGAATTACACTCTTATCTGACTCTTGTCCTCTCCAAAGGCCTTTCCCCGAGGCTCCCCGTGCGTTCCATAGCGTGGCGCTGCAGACCACAAAGTTGCCTCTGTTGGTGTCATTGGGCCTCACTAGAAAAGCCACTCACACTGCTTGTGATGGCCTCAGACTCTTCTGGAAAATCTTCTTAGGAACTTAGGCTAGAAATATAAAGAAAATACAGCAATCAGTTCCGTTAGAAAGCTGAGGAGCTATCACAGCCTATAGTCAAGAATAGGCAGAAATGATAAGTATTCAGAATAAAATATACAAAAAAGAAGAAAAGATCACTGATTAGGGAGTGAACAAGGCCTGTGATAGTTAAATATCATGAGGAAACAAAAAAGACAAAGGGACAAGAAATTGGGTAAATGTATTTGCAGTAAAGTCAATTAAACAGAACACTAACAGATGAGAGGCCTGTTGCTTCTGAGGCCCCTGACAGTCTTTGATTTTGAATATTCTCCCAGGGAGACTCTTCAGGGACAGATTTCTGATGATTCTCACTCTTTGGAAAAACAGGCCCCACTGCAGCCCCTTGCCTTGTGCTCTTTCTGAAGCTGCTTCTTGTCATATTCTGGCTCCTTGAATGTGTATATCTTGCCAATCTCAATATTTGGAGTTTCTTGAATATTATTTGTCTTTTTGCTACCAACAGACTTCAATAAATGGTATCATGTAGTACTGATACTAGCAGCCAATAAAAAGTTAAGGCTCAAGTGTTGGAGGGGAAATTATTGGGAATAATAGTTTAAAACAATACTAAAAGAATGACTTTTAGATATATCAGGAATTAAAATGGAGAGTATTTTGATGGTTACAATATTATAAAAGAAATGAATGTATCTGGGATGGGGAAATGAGCAGCCATGTTTTTCTATATATGTCGTATTTCTTTGAAATCTAGGGAAAATGCTTTATGATCAGTGCTATGAGTTGTAATCTTTATTTTAATCATTTAAGATGTTCTATTTTGGTAATCTAGACTATTAAATATGAAAAATTTTTGAAGTCATGGATTTTGTATCATTTGCCCTGTGTATTCCCTTACAGTGCCTAGACTGTAAGCTGCCCAGAACTCACAATATTAAATATTCATAAAAAAATCTTACTAATTATGTTATTATACATGAGAGCAGAAGGTCTCACAATAACAACACATGACTGACATCATGAGTTTTATGGGGTGGAAACAGAATTTGAAACCAGCATCTCTAGTTTAGTAGCCACTGATACTTTGACTCCCAGCCACGGCTCTTATCAATTCATCCATTCATTGATTGAACAGAAATTAAGAAGTGACTTTGTGCCAGGTTCTTCTCTGGGAACTGGGGGTAAAATTTTGAACAACAAAAGACAAGACTCCCTGCCATTATGTAGCATCTACTGAGTTCTCAGACTTTATATCTCATAGACCTTCCATATATCACTGATCTCCATTCATTTCTTCACCCTAATCTTGCATTTATGAAGTTCAGATTGCAAGGTTAGCATTTTGCGTGAGCAAAATTAAATATCAAGTCCTACCAGCTTTCTTCATAAAGCTGCAAGTTACCCACACTGTCCCCAACCATAGAATTTTCCAGGGTTGATGATTGGCTTTCTCCTTGAAGTCAGTGAAGGTTCATATTATATCCAAAAGTTTCAAGGTATACTAAAAAATAATTCCGAAGATTTTTATGGTTTTCAATGAGAAATTTTATCTTTCCAGACCACATTTAAAATTGACTTTAATTGGCAAACCTTCTATCATGGGTTGAGTTATGTCACTCAAACTGCTGTATTGAAATTCTTACCCCTGTGACTCAAAATGTAATCTTATTTGGAAATAATATGGCATATTATTCTTGTCATATTCTGGCAGTTAGTAGTTAGTGATACCACTGTTTATCAGTGGTGAGTCCTGTTTCTTCACATGTTGAAGTATAATATTAGAGAAGCACACTGTGGCAAGCAGGATTTATTTAAAAGGTGGTAGCATAGACTTTTCCAGGGAGGGAGAAGGGGACCCTACTTGGTATCCTGGTATCACTTCTAGGGATACCAAGATACCAACCAGGGTCATCTTGTTCATCCTAGATTTTCTTTGTTCCCCTGCTCTCTTCCCCCTCTTCTCTTTCCTTCCTGACTAGGCCCAGGAGATGGCCAAAAGCTGAAAAGAATATGGATGGCGGAAGGGCCAAATGGAGCAGCCTAGGACACATTAATTAAAGACTTTTATAACTCCTTGTAGGGAGGGACAATTCCTGGGACAGGTTACCTTAGCAACAGTTTGAAACAGGAGCAAGTTACCTTGATAAGGGTGGAGGAAGGACTCTGAAGATATTTCAGTCCTTCAGGGGGCAGTCTCCAACTCCTGGGCTCAAATTGGCCTCTTTAATCCAACCTGACTCGCTTTACTTATCTAAACTGACTGCCTGTCTAATTCTGGCTTCATTTGGATGAGCTTATACTATAGCAGAGTAGGACACTGTACCAATATATGTGTCCTTATTGGAAGAGGAAAATGTGGACCCAAATTCATGCTGAGGAGACAGAGAGGACACCCTGTGACAATGGAGGTAGAGACTGGGAGAAGTACAACTCAAGGAATTCAAAGTATTTTAAACACCAGAAACTATACCAAGCACTATACCAATGACCAGAAAGGATTTTATTTTAAAGATTTCAGAGGGAGGTTGACTCTTCTTCTGCTGGTATGTTGACTTCAGACTTCCACTTCCAAAATTGTGAACTAACACTTGTATTTTGTTTTAAAACCTCCAGTTTTTAGTAACTTGCTACATAGATCTCAGTACTACATTCTTTTGTGTCTTTTCACGGATACTCTTTCTTCTTTCTCCTTCTCTCCTTCTTCCTCTTTCCTACTTGTTTGATTCCCCAGGTCTGACTTCTTCTTAGTTATTATCTCACAGGAACTACTGCCTGAGTCATTTAATAAAGATCCCTCTTCAAAATGCTAAAGAACACCTGAAAGTTGCAGAAATGCTTCTCTCGGTTCATGATCTTACAAAATGCATCAACCGATAGAAATGTCTTGGAGCAAGGTTTCTGCTCCTATTTGAAGATGCTGAAGCATCTGCTTCATTGGTCCTTTGGCATCTTTATGTCTCCGAAGACATGTAATCTCCCTCCTTAAGAGAGTTATTAAAGCACACTGCAAACGATTAGCAAGTCCCAGAACATGTGAACATGTGGATGTTTACCAGTCCCAGGTAGACAGGGCATTTTTCCTCAGTGCTCAGTGTCACAACTAATCAAGTTTTGCCTCTCATAGAAGCACTGGGCCACTTTAAGAAAGGATTTTCTACTCCAGATAATCACACTACCCTGCTGGCTATGCAAATTATACAGTATAGAACATTCTTCCTGAAAACCTTTTCTCCAGGAAATGTTTTTTTCAAGACCTGATTTTTTTTGCAACTAAAAGGAGTACCTGTCCTTGACTATTTCCTTCTATAAACAACTCAAGTAGCAAAGTTGTCTTGGTAACTTTGTCCTTTTATGTCAAGAAAAATAAAGAACAAGGAAAACGGCATGGAAACATTAAAGAGACTCCATTCTCTTTTTAAAGCCCATACAGTTTTAAGTTTTAAATGTATAATCTTTAAAAATCAGTCTCTCTGTCTCTCTGTCTCTCTGTCTCTCCTCTCTCTCTCTCTCTCTCTCTCTCTCTCTCTCTCTCTCTCACACACACACACACACACACACACACACAATGTATGTGTGTTTTATTTAACAAACAATTCTGAAGTGTGTTTGTTGTTTCTAGGGACTGTAGGAGAGACAAAGCCAAAAACAATGGAATGCATTTCCTTAAACAACTTTCAGTTTAGTGGGGGAAGCAATGACCATCTTCCATGTGCAGGATATACAGGGCAGGCTAGGTGGCACATTGGAAAATGCACAAACTCTATAGTCAGATTTCCTGGATTCAAATCTTAGCTCAGCTATTTGCTAATCTCTTATCTTCAGCAAGTTTTTTTTTAGACTTTCTAAACCTCAGTGTTCTTACTGGTAACCAAGTAGCCAAGTCATAGATCTACTTGGAGGGCTTTAATTAATGTACATAAAGCCTTCACATATTAATGGACATAATGGAAAACTCTTAGCTTTTAGTGTTTTGTTTTGTTTTCTTAAAAGGGGTAAAAATAAGTTGGGTAGAAGGACTGAATGAAAGAAGCATATCTATCACAGTACAAATGTTGGTGTGGAATATTAACAATCTGGAAGCTATTCAACTTTGGCTGGGCTGAGTAGCCTCACAAATCTGTTTAACATTCTCCACAGAGACCAACTAGTGACAATAACCAAACAGGGGGGACTACAGGGAGCAAGAAACAGTGGTTAAAAAGAGGCAGTGACATTCTCACCACCTGCCCTCACCCCTTCTCCTGAGCTATCAGCAGCTGCTCCGAGGAGAACAGTATCTGTGTCTTACATAGCAATTACTTGGATGATTTTCTGCAGGGAGTTGCTATTTTTCTGTTGACAAGGCACATTGAATTGATCATTTGGCATTACATCATATTCCATTTACTGTCTCATAACACTTTATTTGTTTTATATAAGGAGTTGTGTGCCAGAGGGCTTTGATGATGTTGAAAATGCACCATTTCAGTCACTCACCTCCACTGCTAATGGTTTTGCTGCCAGCTCTTTAAACTTGAATTAATTTGGCAACTTAGCTCTCAAGTAGAAGTAGGAAATCTACTTTTGAACATAGATCAAGCCAGCTGGAAGCCGAAAGAAATGTTAGGTAAGAGAACTTACTTTGTTAGAGGTTGTAATACCAGATTTTTACCATTTGTGAAACCAGGTTTTTAAAAAGTATATTTTTTAAATTTTAAAGTAGTTTTAGATTTACAGAAAAAATCATGCAGATAGTTCAGAAAGTTTCCTTGTATCTAACACTGTTTTTCTGATTTTGACATCTTATGTATCATTTACTTGCTGCAACTTATGAGCAGATATTAATGTATTATTGTGAACTGAAGTCTTCATTGTTATTTCCTTAGTTCTTACCTGATGTCCTTTTTCTGTTCCAGGCCATCATCTAGGGAATATATTACATTTAGTCATTGTGTTTCCTTCATTTCCTCTTGGTTGTGACAACTCCTCTGTCTTGTTTTTAATAACCTTGGCACTTTATAAGAGTACAGGCTAGATATTTTGTAGAATATTATTAATCTTTAAAATATTTTTTTCTCTTAATTAGACTGAGATTATGGGTTTGGGGGAGAAAGACCATAGATGTAAAGCTCTATTCTCACTATCACATCCTATCAAGGGCTCATGCCATGACTAAGGCTTACTTTCCCCTGACTGAAATGCTGTTTGTCAAATTTCTCTATTGTAAAGTTACTCTTTTCTCTCCCTTTTCCAAACCGTGCTTCTTGGAAGGAAGTTATTTAAAGGGTGGGGATATATGTTCCATGGCGTTCAGCGCATAGTATCTATGTACATTATTTGGAATTCTTCTCCATTTAGATTTTGTCTACTCTCTCCTTACCACCATACATTTATTTATTTGAGTATTTACATCCATGCAGATTTAGTGGTATTTATTTTATACATTGGGTTATACTGTAATGTATATTGTTTATTTCATTACTTGAATTGTTTGACCATTGGAACTTTTATTTATTTATTTATTTTTGACTCTTGTTTGCCTTTTACATACTGCTAGCATTGTGGATGATTTTGTTTGAGTTTTCTGTTTGGTTAGATTTTATTGCTGTTGCTTTTTTTTTTTTTTTTTGGTACCTCTTTACTGTCTAAAACCACAAAGTATTCTGGATCCATCTTGCTCAGCTGCAGAACCATTCATTTCCCCAAGAAGCACTGATTCCTTTATTGACAATGGTTTTAGAAACCAGTTCAGCAGTTGTGTGGGCTAACTGCTTCTGGAGTGCTATTGCTTTTGATACTGAGTTTTTCTATTTATTAACCACTGTCCTTCCTTTAAATTCTCTAGGATCCCACAGTCCTCAGAATACCCAGGATCTCATCCTAGTGAGATGCTCCACCAGCTAGTCTTAAGAGAGCTGGGCAGAACCATCTTTCTTTATTTCTCTCTATCAAGTTATCTAGTTATTCCTCCCCTGCTCTTACAATCAGCTTCCTTAGATAATTAGTTATTTGAAACTTGCACAGAATCTTAGAACTGATTTTAAATAAATGTTTGTTTCATTGAGTAGAATCTGATAATCTAGTTTCCATTAAGTTGTCAAAAACTGATAATGGATTATAGTGTCACTACTCACAGAAGATAATTGAATTTTTAATAGAGAATTTCTGAAGACATAGCCAAGTCCCAAGGACATGACAGAAAAGGTGGCAGATTCTTGCTTTAGAAGACAAATGTAAGCAGGTTAGTATCAACTTAATGGGTTCTGGCCAGCATTTTGAAAAATTAGAAAATGATGGAAAATATCCTTATTCATCAAAAAAGATGAGAATACACATCATTTTATGATCTTGTGTGTGTGTGTGTGTGTGTGTGCATGTGTTCTTTTATATTGAGTTGTGATATATATGATGTTGCAATTCTCAATGAACAGAAAGCTATTTTTCTCACCATTTTATATAATGATAGCATATTAGAAGCTAAGAATTTGTACAGCAACTTTTACAAAGCAAATTACTTTAGTTTCTTCTTTTTTAAATTTGAAAATGTTTCACTAGTATTGATATAGTCAGTGGAATTTCATATTGGTCTTATTTGCTATGCTGTGTGTGGTCTGCTTATAGACATATGGAAAGATGATGCATATATGAAAGGAACCACATTTTTCTATTTATTTCCAGGTTTATTGTCTTTATTAAAGTTCATTTTGGTACATCTGGACAGTCAGGAAAGCAGTAAAACAATTAAACATGTAGGCTCTTCTTTGTTCATGAAACAAATCCTGCCATTTCTTTACTGTGTAGCATTATAGCCCAGTGACCTTAGTTGACTCATTTTGAAAAGGGGACTAATGTTTATGCCTGATGGAGTGGTTGTGACAGTTATAAACATACTGTAGTTAGTATGTTATGCATTTAACAAATATTGTCAGCAAGGAAGCCAATTTTCTGCAAACTGTAGGTCAAAATTCCTAAGTGGATCCTGAAATCAATTTAATGTTCTATCTGCAACATTAAAATAATAAAATAGACAAAGGTAGCATGACAGGTACACGTAAGTAAATTTGTTACTCCAAGCTTTTGCTCTCTTTCTCTTTTTCCTTATATAAGTGTGGGAGTCTCTCTCTCTCTCTCTCTCTGTGTGTGTGTGTGTGTGTGTGTGTGTGTGTGTGTGTATGTGTGTTGTGTGCACATGGTATGGGTACCAACTCATTAGGTAAAATGAATGTCTTTCGGATGAACATGATCAAAAACATTTGAAATGTCAGGCAGATGTTTCCTTCCGAATAAGTAAACTAAACCTTCTCCCGCCTTCAACTTTAAGCTCAGTGTCTCTCTCTTTCAGGCAACCTTCATTCAACTTTCTGTGTGGGTTCAAACTTTTATCACATAATGAATCCTTAAAGTCTACCTAAGAGAACTATAATTGCATATATGCTCATGTGATCATTAGACAAGTAGTTTACGTTTTAGACTGTACATTCACTGATAGCCTGGACCAGTCCTGTTTGCTCATTTCTGTATTCCCTGAACCTAACATGTTTCCTGACACACAATAGATAGGGTATAAAGAAAGAAAGGAAGAAAGAAAGAAAAAATTTTCTTCCATTTTCTCTAACATCACCTCATGTATACCTAGTTTTAGGTTCAATAAATTCTTCCTACTTAATACCTCTCAGGTTCACCTACTTGACTGCATCATTTAGGGAACTTAATTCTTGCCTGAATTTCAACAATATTCTCCTAGCTGGTCTCCTTATCTACGCCCTGCTGCTTTTCCTCCCACTCCAATCCAATTAGTTTTCTCCCTAAGTGATTTTTTTTTTTTTTTTTACTAAAATAAAAATCTGATCATGCCACCTTTCAGCTTAGTATCTTTCAACAGCATCTAATTGTCCTCAGGAAGAAGTTCAAACCCCTTATTATATAGGGGGTACAGACATTCACAGTCATAAATGCCATCATGTCAAATGTTAACTTTATTTTCATTTAACTCAATTTGATTTTTTTGATTCCTAACTACACTTTTCTGAATCAAAATCAATTGCTCACTTTATAATATAAACTCAGTCCAACCCACTGATGGCTCAGTCAATTCAGATTTACATTCCAGTCACAAAAAGTATTTTAACCCTTACATTGTGTGTGTGTGTGTGTGTGTATAAAACAAAACTCATGTTATAAATATAAAATATATATATGTGTATATATATACATATATATATATGTATTTCTTCTAGAAGTTTTGTCTAATATGTGTGAGATTATGTGAGGATGAGAGGGACGACTTGCAAAATTTCTACCACCTTGCATTGGTGGGCAGGGAGCAGGTGCTTCTATTTCTTGTTGTTCACCTACTTTAGATCCACATTGTTCACATGGATATGACCTCAGATTCTCAGCTAGAGGTAAACAAACCCATAAAAGGTGACTTGAACAGTCTATAGATGTTTATAACTTTTCATTGATGATGGTCCATGTAGAGGAGTTATACATTCTTCTGGCTATTTGCAGGCAATTGTCCACTTCATGGCCTTCTGATGAATGACACCTGAGTCACCAACTAATATTACAATCAAGTCTTCTGGTATTTTTACTCTGCATCCTTCTATTCCCTTTCTTTCCCTCTCCCCCTTCCTTCCCTTTCCCCCATTCCTTCCCTCTACTCTCTGTCTCTATGTATTCCCTTAAATGTGATGCCTCTTTCTGAGAATGGCTATATGCCCAGACTTTCAGGAGACAGGACTTACTAAGGAATGCTCACCCTGTTCCTAAAACTTTCATGGGGCATTTGACTGTCAGAACCATGCATAGTTTTGATGACATGCTGCTTTAACTTTTGAAACTTCCTAAATTTAAGACCTCAAAGAAGGGAAACTATTCTTAAGTGTTCCCTGTATTATTCTGCACATGTTTAAACCCTTTAGATTATGATTTAACTTCAAAGCTTATAGCCATTTTAACGTCTTGAGTGGAAGGAAAATTTGAGAAGTGCTCACTTATATCCTTCATTCCAACTTTGGATGGTGACTTGGGGATTTATAAACCACAGATTTATCTCTGTTTATTTTATTCCCCCAATTTAAAAGCTTCCTTCTGGGATTAATGGTAATCCAAAGACCTTTGTAAGAAAATGGGTGGTAGAATTTATTTTATCAGGCATTATTCTAAGAACTTTATCATTTCATTTCATTCTCAAAAAACTTTTTTTTTAGAGAGAGAGGGAGAGAGAGAATTTTTTTTTTTAATATTTATTTTTTAGTTTTCGGCAGACACAACATCTTTGTTTGTATGTGGTGCTGAGGATTGAACCCGGGCCGCACATATGCCAGGCGAGCACGCTACTGCTTGAGCCACATCCCCAGCCCTCTCAAAAAACATTTGAGGATGGCAAAATTACTTTATTTTACTGATGAGGAAAACAAAAATGTGAAAAAGATGTAATCTGTATAAGATTCGATAGCATTTGATAAGGAAAAAAATTGCAACTGAGGGACATCTTTTGCTTTTTTTTTAAATTCAGATAGGTTTTTTGTTTTTGTTGTTTTTCTGTGTTCTTTTCTCCTTTTTAGTAAACTATGTTTGAAGTTTACAATATGAGATCATGGGATACATATAGGTAGTAAAAGTGGTCACTATAGTGCAACCTATTAAAACATATATTATCTCACATACCTTATTTTTGTGATAAGAGCAGATAGAATCTACTTGTTTAACAGAAATCCATGATAAAATTTTACTAATTAGAAATTCATTAATTACCATCTTTATATTGTACATAGAAGTATATTCTTGTTCACCTACTTATCTGCTATTTCATATCCTTTTATCGACATCACTCCATTTTCTATTTCCCCTACTCCTGCCCTTGGCGATCACTGTTTTATTCTTATCTCTTTAAATTTTAATTTCCCTCCCTTCCTGCCTTCATCTTTCTTTTTTTTTTCCTTTTCCTTTTTACTTTATTTTTTAAAGAGATAGATAGAGAGAATTTTAATATTTATTTTTTATTTTTTAATTTTTTTTCAGAAGACACAACATCTTTGTTTGTATGTGATGCTGAGGATCGAACTCGGGCTGTATGCATGCCAGGCGAGCATGCTACCACTTGAACCACATCCCCAGCCCTCCTTTTCCTTTTTAGGTTCTACAAATGAGTGAATATTTCATTATTTCAGTATTTTTCTTTCTGTGTCTGTCTACATCATTGATCATAATGTCCTTCAGATATGTCATTGATGGGGCAAATGACAAAATCTCCTCCTGTTTTAAGGCTTAATAAAATTTCACCATATACATAGTATCCATTTGTCCATAAGTGGACACTTAGGCTGCTTCCAATATCTTGATGATTTTGAATAGTTTTACAATAAACATGTTGGTAGAGACATCATTATGGGGTGGAACACACATCAGAATACATGAGGTATATTTCTAGGAGAGGGATTGCTGAATCATATAGTACTTCAATTTTTACTACCTTAAGAACCTCTATATTGTTTTTTTTTTTTGTATTGTCTGTATTCATCTGTTTTTCCACCAACAGTGTACTAGGGTTCCTTTTGCTCTACATTTTTACCAATGTTTATCTCCTATCTTTTCTATTACCACCATCTATGAGGTGCACAGGATTTTAAATTTTCATTTCCCTGATGATTAGCAATATTAGCAATGTTTTTCATATATGTCTTCACTATTTTATGTCTTCTTAAATAAATGTCTACTCAGCTCCTTTAACCATTTTCAAATTGCTTCCCAGAGAGATTCTTCATATCATACCCTTGCTGTTGTTTATTTTGGTATGTTGCAAATCATCTCCAGGTTTTACCTCATCTCCATATTGGGATGACAGAGTCCAACCTCCAAACGGAATATTCTTTATGTTTCCTCTTCTTCTTACCATAAAAATTCAGCTCACCACATTACCTTCTCTGAAAAGAAGTTTTCCTCTTTATCTCCTATCTCCGTTCCAGTCTGATTGTATATGCTCCTTTCAACTGATCTTCCCAGGCCGCTGATTTCCTCTGATATTTAAAGTATGAATGTACCACTGTAGGTGCTTTAACTACTCATGAGCACGCTAGACTCTCATTTTACAGAACTTATTGAAAGCAAGAACCATGTGTTCTTCATATCTGTACTCCAAAGCCTAGTCTAGTGCCTGGCATGTAAGAAGTATTTGAAGTGTTTGGAACAATGCACTGAATGAATTTATTATGAATAGAAAGGTTGAAGGCTGAAGAA